AGGGGTTTTGGGTGCCTTTGGGGCTTGCAGACTTCGGGGTGGCGGAAACCCTACCTAAAAGAGAACAGCTTGGGGGCTTGAGGGATCTTTTTCGGGTTTAGGAGGGTTTACGGTTTTAGGGATTTAAGGGTCAGGGTTTAGGGTTTNNGTTTAGGGTTTTTAGGGTTTAGGAGGTTGCGGTTTAGGGATTTAGGGGTTAGGTTAGTGTTTAGGGTTTAGAGTTTTTAGAGTTTAGGAGGTTGCGGTTTAGGGTTTCGGGATCTTTTTGGTTTAGGAGGTTGCGGTTTAGGGATTAAGGGGTTAGGGAAAATCGGTGTTGTCGGCGACTCTCAAACTTCCAGCCTCATTGCGACAGAAGCTGGCTTCCGAAACCCGCACCACCGCTTTCTTCTGCGGCGGCCTATGATGCCTCCATGAGCCTAGCCCCGCAGAATTTCAGAATGTCTCGACTGTGGGAGGCGGCAACACCCCCCAAAAATTCTGGGTACCTCAAACTACAGAGGGATCCTTAGTATGATTTAAAGTCCATTGCTGAATTAAGCGCCTTGGAGTCCCTGAAAGACACCACCACTAAAGTACTAGGCTACTGAACCATGCACCCTACACCCGAAACCCTAAACCCTAAACCCTAAACCCTACACCCGAAACCAAGATGGCCTTTCCCTCTCTGACCAGCAGGCCGATTCGGGAGTCCTGAGGGCCGTCGTCGGAAGGGTCAGGTTTCAGGGCCCACCTTTCGAGCCCCCTATGCCTGCGACACCCATCCATATATATATATATATATATTCCAACTGCAAAGCCCTTCAAAACCTAAAAACCGAAAGCTCGGAAGCCTGAAGCCACTGTCCTTGATCGCGAGATCCGCTTTCTCATCCTGGCCTGCTACACAGGGAGGGGTTTTTGCGACTTCTAGCCTAAACCCTAAGCCCTAAACCCTAAACCCTAAACCCTAAACCATAAACCCGAAACCCTAAACCACAACCCTTGTCGCTGTTTGGGACTTGAGGCTGAGGGATTCGAGGTAAGGGCCCCGGGGGGCCTCAACAACGAAGCCGCCTACACGAGGCTCAAACCCCTAGGCAAAGCTTCGCGATCGTGCAAGCACTGATTCTAAACCCTAAACCCTAGACCCTAGACCCTAAACCCTAGACCCTGACCCCTAAACCCTAAAACCCTAAACCCCTAAACACCCCTAAAGCCTTACAGACGCCTTTAAACAGGGACCCTAAGCCCCCACTCTCCCAACAGAGACCGAGGGGCCGGAGCCCCTGGATCCCAGACGTAATGTAGGGGCCTTAATAATTAGAATAGGGTTTTGGGGGTTTTTTATTATAAATATAGTAGAATATACCCCAAACCCCATTCTAATTGTTAAGGCCCCTATATTACAAGACATGCCGAAACTTCGCTGCTTCTCCACTTCGAGGGTGGAATCGCGCCAGACACCTGGGCTCTGCTAGGTTGAGGGTCTAGAACTGAATGAAGGTTGAGAGTTCGGAGTTCAGGGTTTAGGGTTTAGGGTTTAGAGTTCGGAGTTTAGGGCATTTGGTGCAGTGTGGAGAGGGCGAGGGGACGTTGACATTTCCACTCACAGGTATCATTCTCAAGGCTACCAGTATGGCTTTTTGCAGCTGAGGCACAAATCTTGGAGTCAGCGCCGCCTGAAACCATCCGATCCCCCAGGATGTCAATGCACCAGACTTTGCTGGTGTGTTCTTCGAGGGTGGCTGCACACTCTGCAGTCCTGCAAAGGCTTGCAGCCAACAAAGTCAAAGGGTGCAGGAAAATGTGCGGTCTAAGTCTGACTGTGTCAAGTGCATCTGCTCCTGATGTGCCAGAGTTTAAGCAGGCCGTCCACGCTGCTGCTCATTAGCCTGGGTTCTTGTTAGGGGATTTAACTTAAGTTACCATAACAAGGAAACCCCATTATCTACTATAGATCCCTCTTATAGTAACTCAAATAAAAATCCCTTAACAAGAGCCCAGTAGCCCTAAACCCTAAACCCCCAAACCCTAAACCCTAAACCCTACCGTACTATAGATCCCTCTTATAGTAACTTAAATAAAATCCCTCAACAAGAGCCCGGTAGCTGCATGCCGTTCCCCAGGAAGGCGACGCGCAGAACCGCGCTGCTGTGGCCCTGGAAGGAGCGGATGGCCCTGCACACGCACAGGGGGCATAGCTTCACAAAACCTGGTTTCCGTGTTCCACGGTTTAGGGTTTAGGGTTTAGGGTTTAGGGTTTGGGGTTTAGGGCCTTATGATCAGAACGAAATCTACATGCATGATACTCTGAGATAGAACTCTTGGTCTTGTCCTTCTTCTCCTTCCTTACTCTCCCTTTACTCCCTCCACACCATACTTACACATCAGGCAGACGAGATCCCAAATCCGACATCCACAACCCCAAACCCTGACGAGTTGGGCTTAAGCCTTAAGCCTCAAAGCCCTCACACAGGATCTGAACCCTAAATCCTAAAGCCCTAGACCCTAAACCCTAACCCCTAACCCCTTAAACCCTAAACCCTTAAACCCTAAACCCCAAACCCTAAACCCTGAACCCTCAAACCCTAAACCCCTCGATCCTAGATTAACACCCCCAACCCCTAAACCCCGGTAGCCGCCTAAAGTCCTTCAAGTTCCAAAGCCGGATGGTGGCATCACCTCGTCGCTTTTGGGCTGGGCGGGTTTAGGAATTCGGGCTTTAGGGTTTCAGGGCTTGAGGGTGTTAGGCTCAGAGGAATTCGGGCTTTAGGGCTTCAGGGCTTGGGGTTTCAGGGGTTTGGGCTTCCAGGCTCATTATACGGCCATGTACTACATCACTTCGTGGCTTTCGCCAGAGCCCAAACTCCCAGAGCGGTGTGGCCTCCGGGTGTAGGGCTTCAAAGACCCTAAACCCTAAATCCCAAATCGTAAACCCTAAACCCTAGACCCTCAACCCTTAACGTTAAACCCTGAATCGTAAACCCTAAACCCTAAATCCTAAATCGTAGGGCGTTAGGGAGCTCTTTTTCACGCGGGGGGGTTGGGCGGAATTTGAAGGTCATGGCTTTAGGGGCTTCGGGGTGTAAGGTTCCTGAAGTTCAACCCCCAAACCCTGAACTGACCCCTCATAGCTTAGAACCGACTTCCTGAGGCAAAGTATACTTTGGTTATATTTATGGAACGAGGGAATAGTGCTACTAGTCTTTCGAGCCCCTCTACTACCAGCCGCACCCCCGAAACCGACTTGCACTCTGCTTCGGCAGGGGCTTTGGAGTCAAGGGCTTAGGTCTTAAGGTTTTGTCCAAGCATTTCGGGTGCCAGGTGCGGAGTGAAGGTGCAGCCCAGGGTCTGAGTTTTTGGGCTTTAGGGTTTAAGGGTATGAGGTTTAGGGTTTAGGGTTGGCCACTTTAGGGTTTAGGCTTTAGGGGTTTAGGGGCTTTTTGGGGGGGGTGAGGGCTTAGCACTTCAGGGTTCAGGGTTTGGGAATTTGAGCCTACAGCTTAGAGGCATTCATGCGAGCTTTCCGCGTAGCCTGTCCTGTCTCAAACAAAAACAGCAAACCCTTACAATCAAGCCCCTTATGCTTCTACATGAGCACCTGTTTATGGTTGCATCTCTACATCATTACTGTATCTGTATAAATGTGTATGTATGTATATATGTATACATGCATCTGCATGTACGTGTGAGTGTACTTATCTAAAGCATCTGTATATCTATATCTATATCTATGTCTCTGTCTATATCTCTACCTCTGTCTATATCTATATCTATATACACACGATGCTTGTACCACTTATTTACTTGTATTTCTGTGTGTGTGTGTTGACTTGTTCGTTGCTTTCTTCGCTGGTTTCTCTACCTGTTTATTTACTGATTCATTCATTCATTCATTCATTCATTCATTCATTCACTCATTCATTCATTCATTCATTCGTTCGTGCGTTCATGCAATTACATTTGTCCACACACAGACACACACACACAGTGAGTGTATGTGTATATATATATACATATATAAATATGTATGTACATATGTATACATAGGCATATACCTAATACATACACGCATTCTACGTATGTAAGTATTATACATAAATTACGTTTACATACACACCAGACTGCTACACGGACATACATATTTACATACGTGTGGATATACGTCCGCACAATAGCCTCATACGGCCTTAACCTTATTACTGGGTCGCTCTGCTTGTCCAGCTCGCTCCGTTTCCTTCCTCCAACCCCAAAAACAAAACTCTAAACTCTCAACCCCTGAACCCTAAACCCCTAAACCCCGAACCCTTAAACCGTAAACCCTACCTTGAACCCTAAACCCTTAGACCCTAATCAAGGGCTTGGACCACCCGAGGCCCGAGCTAGAGGCAGAGGCCACCACCTGGTCGATGGGAGAGAATGCCACGCACCTGCGGCTTGCGTTAGGGTTTAGGGTTTAGGGTTTTGAGCATTCTAGGCCGGAGGCTTCAATGCCTTTAGGATTAGGGATTTAGGCGTTTACGGATGGATTTGGGCTTTAGGGCTGTAGGCTTTTGGGATTTGGGCTCAGGTGGCGCTTTGGCACCAGCAAATCCAAATGCTGTCCAACGGAAGCCAAGGCACCAGACACCTCGCCGGTGTCCTTTGCCTGAGAAGGTTTGGCTTTGGGGCTGAGGGCTTCAGGGCCCAACAACGGATAGTGTTCAAAAGCTACCGGATGCTATCGGAAAAAAAACTGCGCATGCGCAGTCCAACACTGGACGGGGTGGGAGTTCAGGGTCTCGGGTTTGAAGTTTCAGCCTACTAAACCCTAGACCCTTCTACCCTAAGCCCTAAACCCTACCACCCTAAACCCCTCAACCCCCAAGCCCCTACACCACAACCTTAATTAAACCGGAAACCCTTAACTCCTGATGGATCCCCTTATAGAACCCTTATAGATCCGTTTAGAGGAACCCCAAAAACCCGAAACGCCAAGGTGTGACTCACAGGATCTGTGTAGGGGTTTAGGGTTTTAGGGTTTAGGGCTTTAGGGCTTTAGGGTTCCAGGGTTTATGGTTTAGGGTTTTAGGGCTTAGGGTTTAGGGGTTTAGGGCTTGAGGGGTTTAGGGTTTAGGGTTTAGGGGCTCCTTTGCATGCAAAAAGGGCCCGGGGCTTGAGATCTAGGTTTTAGTGACTCAGTGCGTGCAGACGGGTTGTTTCCTCTCCGGGATCTGACGAACCGTCAGACGTCAGGAGGACGGCGTTACTATTGTGATTACCAACACAACTACTACCATTATCCTAAACCCTAAACCCTAAACTCTACACCCCAAACCCTACACCCTAGACCCTAAACCCTGTTACTACTACTTTTATCATTATCTGCTTTGAAGAAGCTGGGGTCAGAGCACTCCCCCAGCAGGTCGCCCTCCGGAAACTTCCAAATGCGAACCAGCTTGTCCTGTCCAAGAGCTGATTCATGGGTTCGCTTCCTCTGCGGGGCTGAGACCATCAACCTCAAGGGCAACAGTGATTTTTGAGGGTTTCGGGGCTTGCGCTGGCTGAGTCTAGTAACTAGTCGTTTTGTGGCTGTCCTGTAGCAGCAGGAACAGCAGCTACTGCCCGGACAGTTGCGATTGAGACCACGGTAGTACCAGTCTGGCTTCCCAGGTCAACAAATTCATAGAAACCTTAACCGTTCAAGGCCCCTAAACCCTAAAACCCTAAACCCTAAACCCTAAAACCCTAAAACCCGACACCCTACGCCCTACACCCTAAACCCCAGACCTTAAACCCGGGAGCTGCGGGGGCCTAAACTAGGCCTAAACCCCTTCATCCCGACACACCCAGAGAGCCGAAGGTTCCCCTTGATTGGGAGGAATATGCCTTAAATTATAGGGGCCTTCAAGAGATCTATGAGGGTTTCTACAAGGGAGTTGAGGAATATACCTTCAATTGTAGGGCCCTTAATATGGTGATTTAAAGTATACTCCTCAATTAAGGGGTTGTAGGGCCCTTAATATGATGATTTAAAGTATACTCCTCAATTAAGGGGCTGTTTGGGCTCCCTGGGCATGCCCGAGCACATGAGTAGCGGAGCAGCTCCTGCCCACCGCTGGCAATGAGCTTGTTGTTTGGTGAAACTAAGACCTGGGCGCCGGCGACTGCGACCAACACGATGATAGGGTTTAGGGTTTAGGGTTTAGGGTTTAGGGTTTACCCCCCATATGACCGAGGTTGTGGGGTGTGTTGGCATCAACGCCCGGGGATTCGAGCTGGCACTTCCAGGTGTTCCCATCAGTCCAGTGAAGATACCACCTGAGCTGATGTGCCTGGGGTCTTGGGTCGATCCCCCCCCTCCCCAAAACAAGAACCATCGAGAAAAAATGTACCTGAGTGTGTACCGGAGTGAACTCTAGAACTTTTCCATGGGGCGCACAGCTACTACTGCGACTACGACGACAACTACCACCCCGACCGCGACCACTAAGGCAACGACGACGACTACCACCACGAAGGCAACGACGACGACAGCCGTTCTTCCTGCTGTGTTCGCTGTTCGCTCTGCGACCTGCATGTTGCTGGCAATACTACGCTCACTCTCAGCCAGCCAGGGATTGATACACTTCCTCCAACCTTCACGTGTATTGTGAGGACTGTGCTGCATTTGGCGCCTCTGTCTTCAGTCTTGCCACTCCTGAAGATCACCAGCAACACTTTGTAATGCCAACCTGCGCGCGGGCGCACACCTGAAGACCAGGGCAAGGACGTCATTGACTTCCTTTGAGTGAGCAATGACCTCACAGAGGCTTTGGGTATAGGTTTGGTCGTTCGGAAGGTTGAGGTTCAAAGCACCCAGCCTGCAACTGGCGGAATATGGCTTGGGGGGTATAGTATACTATTGCTGTAGATACCATCAGGAGCTCCCCAAACAGTACCGACAACTGGTTGGGCCCCCTAGAATACTCGCTTCTACAGGCCGTGCCAGATATCTTCTTGAAGAGCCAAGCAATCAAAACCTGATATAGTTAGGAATTAGGGTTTAGGGGTGACGAGTACAAGCATTACTATGGTCACAGCCTTACTCTCTTGCAAGCGCCACTGAAGGAGTTCTTTGTTACCTCTATCTTGCGATGGAGAGATAGTCAGGATCCCAGTCAGGCGCTCGACTACTACGAAAAAGTTCGTGGCCTCGG